TCATACCCACACCACACCCATGTCATATGCCCATCATGCCCCCACTATACCCCCATTATACCCCCGTCATAACCCCATCATACCCACGTTGTACCCACACCGATGTAGGTATGATGGGGTCTGGGTGTGAAGTAGACGGGACTGACCTGGGGATCAGGGCTTTGGCCTCCTCGGCAGCTTCAGGACACAGATTTGCTAAACTTGCCAACTCGAACTTGTGGAGCTTCTTCTGCAGGAGGAGGCTGAAACAGAGAGGCCGGTCCGTCAGAGATTCAAACAGGTGATCCCACCCTGTAGGCCGTTAAGGTGAATCAGAAAAAGTCTCACAGAAACTGATTTCCGCTCCGACATCTGGGGACTACACGATCTTTACATCATAAAAGAGATCGATACATGTTCAGCTAATCAGCGGGAGTTCGTAGCTCATAACCCCGCAAGAGTCCTGTGATCAGGGTCGTAATTCGGCACTTGTTCCGTCTGAGCGTAATTATCTGTTCTGCCTGAGCATAATGAGATTTGGTACGCGAGTGGTGTCACGGCCGTCACGTAATCGCGCTACACCAATAAGGTACCCGCATTTCGTGTCGCCATGGTTTCATTCAGCAGAGGAAAACAGACCCGGAAGTCCTCAAAAGTGAGCAGAAATGAGCTGAAACAGCGCTATTCACATCGCCGTGTCCATGAAACACAATGAGACAAATAGACAATAAGGTGAACTAAGCAAAAATGTCTTAAAACACATTTGATTCAATACCTGGGCATAACCGACATATTATTACATAGACAACATAGCTACGGAAGACGAGAACGGCCATGTATTTTTTGTGTGTGTGTGTGTGCACTGTTATCTCGTGATAACGACTTATTATTTTGTTATCTCAATATAACAAAGATTGTTTCCTGTGATAATTGTCAAGTCTGATTACACACTGGTTAATGTGATCGTCTTGATTTCAGCCTACAAGAGTTGCTGTGGTCCTGCCAGATGCCTCCTGCTGCTGCTGTTATCATTAGTCACACTTCTGCTGTTATTACGCCGGTCCGATTAAACGCCGGGGCGATTATTTCCTCATTCATTGCCTCAAGGAGGGACAGCCCTCGCGAGCTGCCCTCTCCCTGCCTGTAGGACTGAGGGACTGTTTATGCTTTTACGCACGGGTCGGTGGTGAAATGGCACACATGACTTGTGCTACAGACGGACGGACGGACAGACAACCACGTATGTCAACAGGTACAGGTAATACATCTGGCTACATCTTTCCCACATCAAATATCCGTGATCACCTACACCCGCGTGCGTAAAAGCGCACACAATTCCGTGTCCTCTCACCGCGATGCTGTGATTTAATGGCCCTGTACTCACTGTAGCCCACTCTTATCAGACCCAATAATAATAATAATAATAATAAGTTACTGTGGACCTATATGCCATGCCTTTTAATAAAATTACCAGAAGAGTTCGCTGAAAAACAGGTCATGTCAGCCTGAATTACTCGCGTGCGTCCCCGGTGAAAATCGCTGACATGCATGAGGAATACAGCTTCTACAGGCTCGCCATAGCTTACTGTCAGGACTCAGGGACCAGAATTCATGATGGCGGACCGTCGGAATGGCGATATTTCGGTGTGGCGGCCTGTAACCATTGGTTAAATGTCCCATTCGGTTCTTATTCAGGTAACTGGGGCTTTATAGTATAATGCAATAGCACCACCCAGCAGTGAAACCCGTGTACACGAAAAAAATGACCCACTCTAAACGTTTAGGGATTTTTGTACAAGAACTCACGCCTACATTATATGGTAGTGTTGCACTAAAAAACATACTAGACAAGAACTGTAACCAAGACTTTTTCACACACTGCAATAATCTAATGTAACTTGTGCAATAAGCCCATTTCACCCTGACTGTAGGCTACATATTCTGTTTGTGTAAATAATCTTGTTCAGCTTACTATACACACACACACATATATA